GAATTAAATAAAATGTTCAAAGTAATTGTAATTTTTATAGGTTGTCAAATGCGTGATTTGACAAATGAAACCCTATTAGGAGAACATAAATTATAAATTACTATTGTTCCTAGTCTGAGACATTAATGAACATAAATGGCTCAATCAAAAGACTAGTATGTGGATCGATTGATAGCTTAGTTTCATGAGCTATAGGGACATAGAGATGTTTAGTCGACTACATAGATACGCATTGTGATGTGTATGGAACAGACCAAAATTGAAATAAGATTTCAAACTTATATTTAGTGGATTCCTCAGACATGGGAACAACATTCTTCCATGAGATAATTAGTATATCCTTGATGATGTTAAACTCCGTGACGTAAAAGGAGGTAATAAAGGCAGCAATTAGGAATGCTAAAAGTTTAGTGGGAGTATTGGTTGGACAAGAATGGATAAGTCCTCCTATTTTTTTTAATGGGATTCGTGTATTGGCCTCTTGAAGAGTTAGAAACTGAAAATGCATGGCCGTGCTCAAGTGGATTAAAGGTTTAATCACTTGTTTCTATAGTTCTTAACTCAGATTTCAAGAAACAATTTGAATCTTAATATGGATGACATAAGATGTTATCATATTATCAAATTCGACATTAAGTGACTTAAGGAATTTATGGTTACACACTTGTTCTAGGACAAGTGGGAGATTGAAGGAAATATCCGTCGATCAAGTGTAATCACTAATTATAATTAGGACAAATATGGAGATTAATTATAATCGGTTATTTTAGGTAATCATAATGTTTTGCTAGAAACCAATTATGATTTGTGAACTAATGCGATTAGTTTACTACTAATAATAATCCGGTCCGATGAGGTCACACATATGAGTATATGATTGAATTAAGATGCATGAAAAGGCATTAAGCCCAAGAGATGCAATTATGTGAAGAGGTGCGATAGTCTATTATAAATATGACTAAGTGACATAAATGAAAAGATACATTTTTCATTAATCACAAAACCTCTCTCTCAAATATCCTCCAGTAAAAGAAATAAGGAATTGTTCATTATTCCGTACTAGCATACGTGGATATTTAATCATTGCTTGTGGACCAATATTAGAGGAACGACAATTGACGTTCTAACGATCTCTTATTGAAGAAAGAAGTGCCCTCTTACTTTGTGGAAATCACGCATCGAGGGTATGATATATTACTTTATGTGATCGTATTATTTATATGCATAAGATCCTGTTTTAGATGCTAAGAAATAGTTTCTTGAAATTCCGCTAAGTGCATCCATACTCCTCCAAGCCCCTCACCCCTACCTCCGTCGGCGAAAACCTAGCCTCGCCCTTGTATACATCGTCGAACCGACCCAACCCTTTTCCGTGGGATTACGACTGCGGTTTGAGTTATTGTTTAGTGCCTTAGTGGGGTTGTTTTGGGGTGTGTGAGACGAGTGAGGGGGTTTTGAGGTAGTTTTGTCGTAGCTATGGGCTGGGTTTCGAGGTGTATGGAATGGGTGAGGGGGTTTCAAGGGGGTGGCTGTGGGGTTGGTTTTCGGGGGTGTGGGCAGGGTTTTAGGGTGGTTAAGACTTACGAGGTGGGGTTTTCATTACTGGGGATCGTTGCGGTTGGGGGGACAACCGGACAGGGGAGGGGCAACAAAGGTGGCTAGGGCAGGAAGGTGATGACACTCATGGAAGGTGGTGATGTGGGCAGTAGGTACGATTGGGAGGAAGAAGGGGAGGAGAAAGAATTATTATATTTAAAAAAAAAAATTGTTTTTTGGTAATTAAAAATAAATTTTTTAATAAGAAAAAAAAATCTTAGCCAATCACAGAACGCCATGTGTCTGGGTTTTAACCTTTTAAACAGGTTACCGGTTTTTTGTACTATTTTGAGTAGATGTATATCAAACATCATTTTATTTTGGAATAATTAAAAGGTCATTTTATTTTTCGAAGACGTCTCAAGGTCGTTTTATTTTTGACAATTTGACAGAAATTTTTTAACGACATTTCAAAACGTATGATGCAAATAACATCGTACATATATAATCTGATAATTGAGATGAAATCTCAAAAATTCTAACCTATAATTTTCTCAACTTCAAGCCTTTATTAACATAGAGTTAGCAAAATCTAATAACGTTATGAAATATATATAAAGAATCAGCAAAACTAACTCAAAAATTATGATGAAATTTAAATTTGTTCTCAATGAAATGTTGAATAGTTTCAATTTTTTTTTAGCTAAATACTATTTTAAACTAGAGGTATTGCAAGTAATATGTGATTTCGAGCTTGATTTTGAGAGCGTGAGAAATTCAACATTTCAAAAGAAATATTTATTATGGTCTTGTTGAGGTAAATGTTGTGCTTTATCAACAAGTCAAATACCCTATATTGTTCTATGTGGGGCTGCCCCTATTATTACTGATTTTACTTTAACCTTTAACATAACAACAAAAACATGTAAGTTGCAATACTTGAAGAAATTAAGAAAGAGTTGAGTCAACCAAAGAAATGAACAGACAAACATAAATTAATTAAGAATGCAAATGTCTTCCATTAAATAAAGGATAAAGTTAGGGTTACAATCGTATTACAAGAAGAGAAGATTAACTTCGTATTCAAACAATTGGAATGATCGAACAATCATCAAAACATACTAACTAAATCTAATCTATGGCAGGGAAAATTAATAAGAAAAGCATTAAAGAAAGCTTAAAGAAAATGAAATATTTTATTAGGTTGATTTGTTGATGCCTCTATTCTATGAATCTTCGCTATTTATAGGCAACTCCTCGAGAACTTTGCTCTGATTTTCCATTAATGCCCTCCTAACCGTATAGCGGTTTCCTTCTTCTTGGCACAAATATTACTCTCTTTGAATAAGTCTCACTGGATGAATACCACGTTCTTTAGCTCTAAAAAGTATGGGCCTTGACATTGGGCCATCCTTTATGCTTACTGGAATTGTCCACTTGATGGTCTATTCAATTTATAGTGTTGACTAGTCCGTCGTTGCTTTAAGTCAAGCTTCCCTTAATGAAGTCAAGCTTTGGTCTAATCTCCCTAAAAAGAGTCAAAGTTAACGAAATTAAAGTCAACAAATTTTTTAATTTGGGTGTGATAGGTCAATTTCATTTACTATACATTAAACTAATCACAAAAATTATCCCAAAAGTACACGAGTCTACAACAAAAAAATTTCCGTTAAAAACTTATTTTTCTTATATTGTTTTCCTTAAAAAGTAATAAGATAATTGATAATAAAAAATATATATATATAAAAAAGAGAATATGTAGCCAAAACAACTCAAAAAAATAGAACAATAACAACAACTTTAAATAAATAAAATATTTTTTTAATCGTTAATCTATAAAATGTATATTCCCTTGAATCTTTAATTTATAAAATTTATTGTTCATTTCCTACTAAAAAAAGTCTTAACTCAATTTTAAATTCAAAACTTGTAAGCAAACTACAAAATAGGGATACTCTACATTAACGTATCTCATCTTTAATAATTTGATATCATAAATAGAAATTTAAATGTATACACAATCTATAAACAAATACATTAAACTATTTTATATTTGTTGGGGTTTTCTTCTAATAGGCCCTATAGGTCATCAAACTGTTATAGCAGATTACTAGGACATGTGTCAACGTGTGATTGGTCCAAAAATTATAAAAAATAAAAAAAATTAAATAAATATATAAGGAAACCCAACCTCAAGCACTGCTAGCTAGTGGCCAAACCCACCCAAAAAGAATCTAGCCCCACCAAAAATCGGCCGGCCACCCCACCCAACCCTCAAAATTGGCTGGCCACCCCCACCTCGACCCCCGAAACCACAATCATTTCCCTTATCCCACCCCGAAAAAAACGTCTCAAAATTGGTATCGACGGGTCCAGTTCCAATTTCGCCTCTGTCGGTTCCTAGCTGTTTCCGATTTCAATTCTAGTTGTGCACACCCCTATTGCTCACATGTGATGGTCAACACTAAAAGTAGCGGTCAATGGTGGATTCCGGCGGTCAATATCCGGAATCTAGGCAAAGGTCCAGATAAAGAAAAACATTTTATAGCTACATAATATTAGTTACATAAACTTAATAATTTTTACTTAATTAAATAAATTAACTCAATAAAATTGAATTTAAAAAAAAAAAAAAAAAAAAAGAGTAAAAAAATGTCAACAAGTTGTGTGAGTACGGGCGTGAGGAAGTAAGAAGGACGTGCAAAATATGGGAAGCACGTCGAAGATAAAAATTTGTGATAGGGGCGTGGGAGCATGCATTGGCAATTAGCGGTTAGAGACATCAACCGAATTTCGCGCCCAACTACTCAAATTCTTTCTCATCAAACACCCCTTTCTCCACCTCTCAACTCGTTGACACCCATTACATTTTCCCTTTCTCTCTCTTCTTTCTCTCTCTTCTCCATTTCGATTTCTTGCAATCAATCAATCAATTTTCTGGAACAAAGATTCTTCATCTTTTCCTACAATTTACTGGGTAATTTTAATCTGCTTGTAATATTGGTCATCATTGATTAAATTTGTGTTAGGATTTTAATTTGTGATTTTATGGGTTCAAATTTCATATAAGGTTGCGTTTATCTGAAACTCTTCGTTTTGTTTGTTGATGGGATTTTTTTTTTTTTGTAATTTTGTAGATTTTGGTACATTCTTGTTAGCAAATTATAAGGGGTTTATCTATTATTTTTATTTTATCAAAATTGGCAATGATTTCATGACTTATTATTATAATCCTTAATCTTTGCGATTTAGGAATTATTTGTATTTAGATGTTGGATTTACTTATAATTAGTAGGGTGGTTGTATCTTTATGTCATGATCATTACCCTGTTGTGCCTTGGATGCGCCTAATTAGGTGCTCATCATTTCTCCTGTCGAATTGTATAACCAAATGAGCAAGAAATTAGCATCGGGTGCACCTAGCTCCACGCTCACCTAGGTGCAATCGGTGAATTATAGTTTTGGATCATCTTGGAGCTAAATATTAGGATTGCAAAAAATTTCCTTCTCTGAATGGATTTATTTAAAAAAAAAAAATTCATACCTTGAATAAAAACATTATTGATTTATAATAACCGTGCCTTGAACAATTTTGTGATGCAGGAATTTGAATTGCTGAATATAGGCTACGGTTAAAGTTGATATTGATAAAAATATATATTAACGACTAAGATCATTTGTGTGTTGAGAAACCTATTGCACCAACAACTTGAATTATGTTCTGCTGTGGAGGCACAGAAGAGGAAAACGCAGGCCCTCCGGCTCATTACACCGCCCCTCCTAGAGGAAATAAACCTGTTGGTGGTAATTACTCCTTTTATCTTGTATTTCTCAGGATATCTATTTATATGCAGTCACTTACTGAATAATTACTTGTATTATAAACACCTTCATGTAGCATTATGTGATAAGCAACTGAGCATTTCTTGCATTGACCTAGCTAGTTTGTAAAGAAATCACTTGACTTTGTACTTAAACTTTTAAACCTTATAAAAGGTTGGTTTAAGAAATTATAAAGTCATGGAATTATTGGTGCAAATCATAGCTGTAGATCAAAACAAAAAAGTAGAATGGTTTCTTTTGGTTGAATTCGGAGGGCAACTGTAAGGTAAGGTGGGTGGGTGGGGAGGTGAGAGTAGCATCCGACCATGAGGTTGCGTGAATTGAGAATTAAAACCATCAGTCTCTTGGACTCTTGGTTGGGAGGTGGGAGCGAGACCATTATACATTTAGTTCTTACTTGATCCCTCATAATGAGTCGAGGGCCACAAAAGACATTCATTCTTTGAGGTAGACTTGATTGAGATCAAATTGTGGATTTCGCAAACTATGAATGAACCTGAAAAGAATATGAATTTTCATCAATTGTTAAATAAAATTTGTGTAACCTTAGCATGGTCAGATGTATTAGGAGTTAGTTTCTATAATATGAAACTTTCTTTTGATGTCATTTTATAGGCGGGGATAGAGAAGAGCCAAAAACTGGTAATGGAACAAGAAGTGGAGCTCCAGTAAAAGCCTTACCAATAGAATTGCCAGCTGTGCCATTGGATGAACTAAACAAATCTACCAACAACTTCAGTCAGAAAACTCTGGTTGGAGAAGGTTCTTATGGAAGGGTTTTCCATGGAAAGTTAAACAATGGCCTAGAGGCTGCAATAAAGAAATTGGACACGAGTTCTGCTCAGGATTCAGATTCCGACTTTGCAGCTCAGGTATCTTACAATTTTCTTCATAGTATGGTTAGATATTTTTGGAAATTTGTTCCCTCTTTTTGATAAGTGGTGGCTCATTGCAGTTGTCGATAGTTTCAAGACTAAAGCATGAGCATTTTACGGAGCTTATGGCTTATTGTTTGGAACAAAATAACAGAATATTGGTTTATCAATATGCAACAATGGGCTCTTTACATGATGTATTACATGGTATTCCATCTCTTAATCCGATCATCTTACTCATCTTTTTAATTGGCAGCAGAATAGTTTGCAGTTTTTGTAATCAAATCATCCTTGATGTCCTGTACAGGAAGGAAAGGAGTACAAGGTGCAGCACCAGGGCCTGCTCTAACTTGGGCACAAAGAGTAAAAATTGCCTTTGGAGCTGCAAAAGGTCTAGAGTACCTGCATGAGAAGGTGCAGCCTTCTATTGTTCACCGAGATGTTAGATCTAGCAATGTCCTGTTGTTCGATGACTTCATGTCAAAAATAGCTGACTTCAACCTGACAAGTGCTTCTTCAGAGACAGCAGCTCGTTTGCACTCCACTAGAGTCCTGGGAACATTTGGTTACCATGCTCCTGAGTATGCCCCTCTTTCCCTATTAATTCCAAATTGAAGGATCTAGTATATATTATGGCTTATTCCAATCATTTTACTCATCTCTTAATTGGTAGTAGAATAGTTTTTACTTTTAGGCGCAATGAAGCTGGACTCCTTTCTAGGGACTAGGGTATATTATGTCAAAGACTGATAGAGAAACAAGGATTGTGTTTAGGATTACTAAACAAAGCTCCGAATAATGATAACTACTGTAAAATTGATTGGATCAATACTGATAGACAAAGCTTTTGATGACATTTTTTAAGCTCACTGGTGCTTGAAGGAGTTGAACCTTTCTTGTCTGTTTCAATAAACAGGTATGCAATGACGGGGCAAATAACTCAGAAAAGTGATGTTTACAGTTTTGGTGTTGTTCTTCTTGAGCTTTTGACTGGAAGAAAGCCGGTAGATCATACTATGCCAAAAGGGCAACAAAGTCTTGTTACTTGGGTGTGTTTCCTGTTATCATGGTGGCATAAATATCATTTTTATCACTTTCGTATTACCAGTTTTGCTGATAAATTCCTTGTCACAGGCAACTCCTCGGTTGAGTGAGGACAAAGTGAAACAATGTGTTGACCCCAAGCTTAATGACAGTTACCCACCAAAAGCAGTAGCTAAGGTTAGAAATACACTTATATTATTGTTCATCTTTTGCATTTAACTTTTAAAGCAAATGTCACATGGATATAAACTTATCTCAGTTCATCAAACCTTTTTTTTTTTTTTTTTTTTTTTTTTTTTTCCCACCTGTTTACTTTCATTTTCTGATAGGAATTTAATAAGAATATATCCTTTTTTTGTGTATATAATGTTGGCTCTTTGGTATTGATCAGATGGCAGCAGTAGCGGCCTTATGTGTTCAGTATGAAGCTGACTTTAGGCCCAACATGACGATTGTGGTTAAGGCTCTGCAGCCTCTTCTGAATGCAAATAAACCAGCAGGCACCGATGCACAAGCATGATTACTATAATGAGATACCAAGATATTTCATTATGCCCATGATTTTTTTCTTTTTTTGTGCTCCTTTTGTGTAACTCTTACGTTTAGTATTTCTTCATTTAGACATTTGATGCAGAAAACAGTTCGGTTCAGAATCACTGAGAATTAAGAATCAGTATTTCTTCATTGCCATTTACACGTTATTGTGGGGGGCATCATCAAGTCTTGTTCATTTAGGCAGATAATTCTCCTAGTCAAATCTTTTGTGTAAGATAAAATATTAATCAAATTTCAAAGGGCAAGCATGCCTTCTCTTGATTTGTGAATAAATGAGTCACACAGCCGGTTAAAACACCCTTTATCTACTTTTTCTGTTTTAGTTTTGCGTCCTTTGCAGCATAAGATCCTGTTAGTTCTCGACTCTACAATGCTTTCAGTTAGTTTTTTTTCCACCGGAAAGCATCTTATTTTAGGCTTATTATGCAGTATTTAGCACAGAAAACATCACAAAGTATCTTACAGTATTCGTATACCAGGAACATACAGGCAATGATTTGCAATTCGGTTCGTAACGGCATCACTGTGGTTTTCTGTTTTTTGGTTTTTTGTTTTTCAAACTCATATGATATATGTCATGTAATGAAACAAAAATTAGTCAAGCTTATTAAAATCACGATACTTTTGAAAACTGACAACAGAAAAGTGAAAAGGCCTTTTTTCTTGTTTCCTGTTTTTGGTTTTTTGTTTTAAAAAAACAGAAAACTGAAAACAAAAAATGATGCCAAACAAGCCCTTAGTTACTTAACTTCAAAGTTGAGAAGTACACTTGGACTAGTTTTATGAAAATTGACTATCCAATATTATAGGGTATAGCAAAAATAATACTTCTAATTTATATCATTCGGATGTTTTTTAAAATTCTATTTAGCTCACTCAAAGCCATGGTCTGCTTATCAAAGGACTAGCATAGTAGCAGAATTATTGATCATCTTCAAGAAACTGATCAATGAAGCATGCCAGAAGTTAAATTCTGCCAATCTTATAACATCTGTAATTATTAAAAACATATTTTGAAAGATGCTTTAATTTAAAGAATAAATATAGAAGATAGCAATTTTAATTTCTAAACGATAAAAATAGATGATACAATATTTATTAAAAACTATAGCTCACATATGAAATCTCTCTGCTGGTACGAACTAATAAGCCCAGATTCTATTATTAATCCTTCAAGCTGTATTTTTTACCGGTGAAGGGGGTTTCAGTGACTGCCCTATGTTTGAAGTTTCCGAACTCAGCTTGGTCGATGTATTTGATATTACAACAGCAGCTAAATCTTCGTTTGCCGTGTAATTACTCTCATTTAACCTCCTTCCTCTGCCACTAAACGGTACAAAACTTGAGGATTCTTTAACATCTTTCTCTGGCTTAGGAAGAGGTTTGGAAACTGGTTTTGGAGGCTCTATATAGTCCAAAGGAAGAGCAAAATCAACCTCTACATCAGTTTCGATTACACAAACCGCATCTGATGGCATAGCTTGAACAATATCAACATACAATGTCTTCCCCTCATGCCTAATAACAATAGTATCTCCAACCGTCAAACAAGCATATCCAGAGCAAAACGCACTCTCAAGTACATCTTTAGGGCTTCGAATATCCAAAAATTTTACACTATGAGGCTGCAACTTCACATAAGTTGCCCTATCATATCTCCGTCTTCCAAACACATGTTTTTCATCATCCACCCAGGCATAAATACCGCTCCCTCTTCACCGCTAAACTCTAAGACTCCACAATGGGAGATTTTCCCCTTAGTTTAGATTTTCGATCTTGAAAAGCATAGGAAATCCTACCCCTTTGTCCATCAATTCTTCTAAAGCCGATTTTGGCATAATAATTTTGTTACCAACCTCTAAATTCGTTTTTTCTATGTAAGATAATGGATAAACATTGTACCATTTATTGAAACCTGCTTCCCATCCACTATTAGTCTCCCCCTCTTCGCTAACGACATCATCACCCTCACTATAATCACCAAATTGTTCCTCATCATTATTATCGTTGATGTTATGATGATCAACACCTTCATTATTATAACCATCATGATCTTCTTCATCATTAACATAATCATCGTGATTTTCCTCACCATTATTATCATAATAATCATCACCTTCACTATAGTAACCTGACGGATTCATAATTGAGAGGGTTGAAAAGAGTTTTTTTTTTTTTTGTTTTTAAGCTCAGAGAGTTATTAAGCTAAGAGAGTTGAAAATATACGGAAGTATTTGATTAGGTTATTACTTTTTATGAGTACTTATATAGAGCTAAATAATTTAGCAAGTCTGAGTTTATATAGAAGTAGGATTCTATTTTTTATTTTTTATTTTTTATTAATTTTTTTTTTAATAACAAAATTCTATATCTTACGTAAAAAATAGGAATCTATTAGTATTCTATTTTAAAACATGATAAACCTAGAATAAAAATCGGTTAACAATTTTATTTAGCAAAAGGGTTAAATAAACTTTACAAAAAATTATTTATTCATAAAAAAAAACCTTTACAAAAATAAAATAAACTAGATAAAAACCCGTGCGATACACGATTTTTCATACATATATCTCACAGAAAAGATATTTTCCTATCTAAGTTTTTTTTTATTTTTTTTATATATATAATTATTTGATTTATTTTACAATTTAATAATTTCAGACAAAAAAAAAACAAATAATAATTTAATTAAAATGATATTGCCAATTACAAAAGTATAATTTTTGTAATGTAATTTAATGCGACTGAATTTATCGTTGTTTTGTATTTTATTCGTTGTTGTTAGTTATATGATAATAATATGATATCTTGCAAAAAAAAAAAAATGTAAATATGATATTTCATTGATTACATATTAGGATAAAATCTTTAATGTGAAAAGATAATAATTTTTTATTTTTAAAATAATTTAAATCCTAAATCATTATTCGTTGCTATTTACACTTGAAACTAAACTCTCAAATCTATATATCATTTTGTATATTTTTTGTGATCTCTTGATCTCTAAAAAATTATTTGTGTTTTCAATTTTTTAGACATAAAATGTTTAAGGAAGGTAAAGTTTTTTTATTGCATTGTAAGTTTTAAATTTTTTTTATGAAAAAAAATCTTATTAATCGGGTATTTAGATAAAACCATTAATTTCATAAGATAATTTTTTATTGTTTTTAATAATTTAAATCCTAATATCCCACGGTTTTTTATACATAAAATCTCATAAAATCTCATAATATTTTTGATTACTTTTCTATTGTTTGTTAAGGATAATTTTTTATTAATTTTATGTAATTTATTCCTCTAATAAATATTTTGATAAGAACATGAAAAATAATAGTTATTAGATGTAATATTTCGATGTAAAAAAATTTGTATTAAAAAAATTTTGATAGGATCACCAACTTTGTTCACACCCATATCTCTTCCATCTAATAAAAATGGATAAATAGAACATGTTAGCAAAAATAAAATTTATATAAAATTAATCTTTATAGTCTTATAAAATAAATTAAAATATTTACCAGAAAGAGAATAATTGTTGTGAAATTAATATAAAAATTGTAATTATACAAAATTAAATCTATGCATTGGAATTTTTTCATCGTCCCCAATTGCCCAAACAATAGTATTTTGGAAAATTGAATCATTATTTTGTTGTCGCTGCCAATGCGTGCGATATTGCTTCTTATTTGTAACGACTGAAAAGTATCTAATGATGTAAACTTTTCCTTCAATCAATTTTGAACAAAATTGTAGAACAAAGTTGACTTTAATTGAGGCATGACTTAATTAAGCTACCTAAATCACAAAAAAATTGTTTTAATCATAAAATTAGTTGATAAAAACTAAAATGTAAACGATTTATAAGGATATAATACCTCCTCATCCAATAGGATCATCAGGCGAGAAACTCGTACTTTGATATTCCAAAGATTTTTTCTCGAATATAATTCTTTGATTCAATTAGATCTGCATGTAAAAACAAAATTCAGTAACAAAACATAAACATATAATCATTAAGTATCCCAAATAAACACAATTTAAGCAATAATCACATATATACATTTAAACATGGGTTTTAAAAATTAGGCTAAGAATTACCCAGCCATTGATGACCTAATAAAACTGACACAAAATTAATGACACAAAATTTGCTTGGTTTGGTTTTGTATTGATACGAAATTTTGTTGGTGTCATATGATGCGTCAATTTATAATGGTAAATGTCATAAATTTTAATTTAATTATAATTTAGGAATAACTTTTATTTCTTATCATAAACACTATCAAAATTTATCTTATAATAGTAGGTATATAAATCCTATTTCTAAAGATGATTATTTTAAAAGATAATTTTTAGTTTTTTAAATAAATTAAATCCTAATAAATCAATATTCGTTGTTTTTACTTACGTGGCAAAATTCTTAAATCTCATTCGTCACTTTTGTTTAGGTGCTAAACGAATTTTTTAATTCCAAAATAAAATAGAAATCTAATTTTTAATTGGTCGAAAATATACCTTTGCTTATGTGACACGCCGAGTGCTCTTGAAAAATTCTTATTAGATGTAATATTGGATTTGGAAAATTCTCAACGGTAATCTCCTACTTTTTTAGTTTTTCAATGGTGACTTCCAATTTTTCAAATTATCAAATCAATTATTAAACATGACATTACTAAGTAAAAAAATAAATAAAAAATAAAAAATAAAATAAAAATTAAAAAATGTTAGATGCATGTTAAATGGGGATTTTCAGTTAAAAGCTTCTAACCTGGGTTAACTAGGAGTATAGTTAAGCTAATTCTCTGTAAAAGATAATTCTTCTATTTTAGAAAATGTAATTTTACATGCACAATAAAATTTACAAGAGGAGTATAAATAAATACTTTCTTATTTTAGAGGAAGTAGCCATCAAGATGAACGAGCAGAAGGAAAGTACTATCATACCCAAAACTAGAAGTTTTGTTGTAAAAGATCGAGAACTAAAACTAAAAGTTTACATAAAATAAAACATCATCATCAAACACTTTGTTTGGATAGAAGAAAATGAAAGAAAAAGAAGGGAAGAGAAAGGGAGGGACCAAACTCACTTGTTTGGATAAAGGATTGGGGGAAAGAAGGGAAAGGAGAGGGAGGGAGGGATCCATTTTTCCTCTCCCTTTAATAAACATAATCCCCTTCCCTTCCTCCTATTTCCCTCCCCTTCCTTTCCTTCCTTATTTGTTATCCAAACAAAGCGTAAAAGTTAAAGAAGACCAAAACTTTATTATCACTCAAGTGAGGAATAGCTCAAGTGGTTAGAGCTCCCCTCCCGATTTCAAGAGATCTTGGGATTGATTCTCATCACCCGCCCTTGCGGCTCTCTAAAAAATTAAAAAAATTAAAATAAAATTCATCCATTCATTGCATTTAACTCCAATTAATTCAACCGCATGGTACAACGATGTTGTAAGTCCATCCATTGGGTCAATGAATTATCAAAATCCCGGGTAAAATTTTATAAATCGGTAAATGGCCTTTTTCTAGTATTTAAATTCATCAATTCCCACCAATTGGGTAGTCTATTTTTACAAAATTGAGCAAAACTAACACGAAATAAGCCCACCTAATCTGGAAATTGGCCAAAAACTTTGACAAAGTTTCAACCTTTGATTGCCTCTGATATATAAGAGTGAACAATTGAAAACGATCACAACATACTACCATACGTCCATACATTATGATCTTTCTTCTGATTTGAAGCCGTAAAAAAATAAGGACTAGATTCACGAGTTAAATTAAACACTTCGAATACGTACATTATGATCTTCTTTAAAGTTATAAAACAGAATTTGATTTTTTTGATGAAGAGGTGATCGCTGATAGATGAGAAGTTGAGTTCGAGTCGTGACGCAAAGTATCAATTTCGTGAGTGACAGATGAAGGATAACGTAAATGGAAGTTTTGTGGCAAAAGTAAATAGAGAAGTACATTAGTATAAAGAGGTGTCCACCGTGCGAGTTGTGCGAGTTGGGTTAGGGTTAGGTGGGTCGCGGGTTGGGTTTCATGACACATAACATGACCAATGTAGGGTAGGGTGGGCCAGGTCGTGTGTTGGGTCAGAGAAATTATTGAACACACTAGGGTTGGATTCGTGGGTTAGACGGGTCGTGGGTGGGTTGAGCTGGGTTTGTGTGTTAAACGGGTCGTGGATGGGTCGAGTTGGGTTCGTGGGTTAGGTGGGTTGGAGGGTGGTTCGAGATGGGTCGAAGGGTGGGTCAAGCTGGGTTTGTGGGTTGGGTGGGTTAGGGTCAGGTGGGTTCGTGGGTTAGGGTCGGGTGGGCCAAATGGCTAAGTGGGTTGTGTGGGTCAAATATACAAATTTGAGTTTTATTTAATAGTTTTGAACTTTTATTTTGAAATAATATTTTGCACATATTTATTTTTAAGGTTGTATAATTTTTACAAAATTAACAATTTGAAGGCTTGCTCTTAATTAAGATGCCTACATATCCTTATATCACAAAATAAGGAATCAAAGCCAACGTAGCTCTTATAATTCTAAAATATCACTACTAGAAATAGGCTTATTTCCGAGGGAATGCTTCCGACGGAATTTGATTCCCTCGTAAAATTCAAAATTTCCGAGGGAAATTGACTTTGTAGGAATAATCCATCGGAAAAATTCCTTACCGACGGAATTTTCCCTCGAAAAATTTCCGACGGATTTTAGATCCCTCGGAATTTGTCGGTTACGACGGAATATTCCCTTGAAGAGTGTTCCGACGGAAATTATTCCCTCGGAAATCACACGTTCCGACGGAAAAATCCGTCGGAACCTGTGATTTCCAAGGGATTAATTTCCGTTGGAAAACTGAGGAAAAAAAAACACGACATTTCTGAATCTGTATAGATTAGAGAAGAAAAAAATCCGAGAGGAAGAGAGAGAAGGCGATTCACAAGAAGAGGAAGAGGAAGAGAGAGAAAGGGGCACGCCAGACATAGGAAGAGAGAGGAAGAGGAAGAGAGAGAAAGGGGCACGCCAGACATAGGAAGAGAGAGGAAGAGGAAGAGAGAGAAAGGGAGAAGGAGGATGAGGAAGAGAGAGAAAGAGGCACGCCCCCAAGCCGCCGCCGCCGCCACCACGCCCCCCTCCCCTGCCGCACCG